GAAATTAATTCTACTTTAATTTATACTTTACAGCAAAGAGGCTAAAATTTTTTAAATAAATATGAGAATTCAATTTAATTAAATTCTTAAGGGAATTTATTTATATGAATTTCATTTCATTTTCAAACTAAAAGATAAGGAATAAGGGAAACAAAAGTTGACTTAAAGAATAACTTGCATATCTACAGAAATTTTAGGTTAAAATACTTAAAAACTCTTAGATCTATAAAGGACAATGGGAGAAAAAAATTAAAGAATCTGATTATCAAGTCAAAACATAATTAAGTAGATACTACCAACTAAAAAAATGCATCAAAGATATAATATATAGATTTATTTATATAATGAAATGCATCAAAGAACTTCATAAAATCAAACATATCCATTTATGTGATACCTTGAGAAATAAATATGCTTGCTATGACTGAGCTGACCTTGAAATAAATAAGAGTAAAAACTACCAACTGAAAAAAAAAAAGATATATTGTCCTATGTAGATTTTAAAAAAAAGAGACAAAAATCAATTGTAAAATAGTTAATTTAAAAAAGACAATAATTACAATTTTCTCCAAATGACTAAGAATGACTTTAATAAAGATAAATCTAGCAAAAGGCTTCTTCACAAATTGCTTGGATATATACTTTTTAGTTGCTTCAAAGATTTTGAAAGAAGATACAATAAAAGTAAAAACTAAAAACTAGAAAAGAAAAGCACTCTAAAACCTATTACTTTGGAGGAGACTGAGGAGAAAGAGTATAATTCAAATAAAAGAATATACTATATACTAAGCTTTAATAATGTAGTGATGAAGTTAGAAAAGCTTATATTAAAATCAAGCTTTTGAAAGAAGAAAAAATCGAAGGTGAAAGAAAAAAAAAAAACACACACACACACACACACACAGAGCGATTGAAAAATACATACCAGCTGGTTTAGAACTTGGGCTTCCTCAATTACAAGGTTTGAGAGACAAATTGCAGATACTAGAATATGTGATGAGCTAAATTTATATACATATTAATAGGGGATTTTTACTTTGATATTATTGATATTTGGATGAGTTTTATGGAATTTTGTTTGATTTTACATGGTTTTCATTCTTTGTGTAGGAAATGATTCACTTGGAAGAAATCCAACCTTTTAGAAGTAAATTGAAGAGATCAGAGACTTGAGGATCAACTTGTGCAGAATCCAGAAGTCAGGAACCAAATCTGCTATTTTACCATTGAAGAAATTACAAAAGGAGACCAAAAACCCGACATGGGTGTAGTATCGACACATGATCGGGGTGTCGACACAATGCGTTAAACGTTCAGAATCAAATTCTGTTTCCTATTTTGTGTCAACATGTAATCCGAAGTGTCAGCACCACGCGATCAGCATCCAAAATTCAGTTTCCTCTTTCTGTTCCAAGTCCTACTTCTATTTCAATTAAGGTTTCTAAAATCCTATAAATACCCATCCAAATTCAGAATTGAGGGAGTTTTGAGAGGCTAGTGGCAGCCCTCTTTTGGGCATTATTGGAGATTAAGATTGAGGTTCCATCAACAATAAAAGATCAAGGAATTCGATTTTCTCAAATTGGGTTTTGTTTTTCCTTAGGTTTTTATCTATTGTTTGATATTTGAATGTTCATAACTTTGATTTTATATTTTATTATTTTTATTATAAACTGATTTATCATACTAGGGCTATGATGTAGCCTAATCAATTCAATATAGATTTAGTGATTTTATGCTTTCAATTAAAGTTATTTGCACGAGAAGTTTATATTATTGAACTTAATGCATTGGAAGTCTGATCACCTTTCAATTGATTTAGTGATTTATGCATGAACTTGAGAAAGAATTGCGTAGATTAGACCAATAATAATATAAACCGTGTACTAAACTATGAGATCGAGAGGTAATTAGCTCATATGTGGTAGTAGAGGAAGAGAAGAGAGTTAGGAGCTCCCCCTTCTTAAGCTAGAGATTTCCATAGAATTCAATGCTCATAAGTTTGTTTAAAATTACATAGAGATATGATTAATTTAACAAATAAGTGAATGATTAACTTGACTTGAGAAAGCTAGTTAATTAATTTAGGGAAATCCGCCATCACATACAATAACACTCAATAATTTGGTAATCCAGAATTTATATTGATTGATTATGGTGAAATCAATGCCTTAACACCTCATATCTTGGTTAGGTTTAATTTAATTGTTAATTTTCTTTTATTATTTTTTTTAGTTAAACTTTCTTCCCATTTAGTTGTTCAAATAAATTTGGATTAATTATTTTTGTACTTAATTAGACACAATTCTCGTGGATTCGACACTCTTCTCATCATTATATTACTTGGAGTGATTAGTACACTTGTTAAGGTGATTTTAGTGCATCAATATATAGTGGATCTTACCAACATGATGCAATCTGCAGAAAATAATTTAAATTCAGATGATAAGTGGTACTAAATTGTAGTAGGACATGAAATCAATGGCTGAAAAGTATGTTGGGAAACGAAAAAGAGGACCGAACCATTGGTGAAGCCATTTGAAGGTGAATCTCATCGGTTGCATAAGAAAATATGTGAGGCAGCAATGAAGATCAAGAAGTCAGTGAAAGAAAACAAGTGGAGATAGCTTTTTGTATTTGAATCTGCTTAGCGGAGAAGGAAAGCAGTGAAATTAAGAAACGGTTTTCCTAACCGTGGAGAATAACCTTGTTAATTTCCATTTTTATGTAAATA